AGAATGTTGAGGCTGGAGAAGAGGAGGCTGAGGGGGGACAGGACGGCTCTCTTGAAGTCTTTGAAGGGGCATCACTTAGAGGAGGGCAGGGAGCTGTTCCTCTTGGCAGCAGAGGAGAGGATTCACAAGAATGGGTTTAAATTAAGGGCCAGAAGGTACCAGCTAGATATTAGGGGAAACTCTGTTACAGTCTAGAGTTGTGCAGCAGTGGAATCGGCTGCCTCGGGAGGTGGTGAGCTCCCCCCCCACTGGCAGTCTTCAAGCAGTGGCTGGACAAATGCTTGTCAGGGATGCTCTAGGCCAGTGATGGCGAACCTTTTAGAGACCGAGTGCCCAAACTGCGACCCAAAACCCACTTATTTATCACAAAGTGCCAACACGGCCATTTGACCTGAATACTGAGGTTTTACTTTAGAAAAAACAACTCATCCATTAACTTAAGATGATCCCAACAAAGTAAGGGAAGCAATCCCAAATGCTTTCATTGACTTAAAATTATTTGGCAGAGAGTTCGACACTTTAATGATGGTCTGGGCCTGGCTGGGGCGATGGCACGCGTGTCCGCAGAGAGGGCTCTGAGTGCCGCCTCTGGCACCCGTGCCATAGGTTCGCCACCACCGCTCTAGGCTGATCCTGCATTGAGCAGGGGGGTTGGACTAGATGGCCTCTATTGCCCTGTAAGGATTAGCTGCTGCTAAACCTATAGATCTCACAGCCGTCGAGCAATCATTAGCTGTAAGTTCTCACAGATTGAGACCTGGCCGGTTCCGAGAGGAATTGGCTGACTGTTAACCGCGTGCAGCCGGCAGCCAGGAAGAAGCTGGTGCAGGACGTTATCTTCATGCAAGGAGCCAGGCGGCGTTTAGGCCGGGAGGAGATGAATGCCGCCAGTGCAGACTCCTTCTCCCTCAGCCTGGAACGATGAGTTAATTTTAAGGAACCGCTCACAGTCCATGAAACGACTGTTTTGTCCATAAGCCAGTCTTTTAATTACTACTGGTTAGTGGCTTCCTTTTTAAGGTTTTATTATTGTTTTGTGTTTCAGAATGGTTTCTGCGTTGCAAACATTCTATGAAACCTGAAGTTGTTTTTAAATTCTTTTGTTAAATGCGGTGGCTCAAGTGGTTAAGACGCTGAACTGCAGGCTGTGGAAGGTCGGTCGTTCAGCAGTTCGAGACCCGAGTGTGCCGCATGACGGAGTGAGCTCCCGTCTCTAGTTCCAGCTCCTGCCAACCTAGCCATTCGAAAGTAAGAAATTGCAAGTAGATAAATAGGTACCACTTCGGTGGGAAGGGAACAGCGTTCCGTGCGCCTCGGTGTTTAGTCATGCTGGCCACATGACCACAGAAAACGTCTTCGGACAGCGCTGGCTCTTCGGCTTTGAAACGGAGATGAGCACCGCAACCCTAGAGTCGGACTCGACTGGCTTTCGAGCAAGGGAGACCTTTACCTTTGTGCCTTGAGATACATGCTGAGTGCTTGCATTCCTCCCCCTGGATATGGATCCAATTCTGACAGGCCTCTTCCAACTCTGTGATTGTGTGATTCCTATCGTGGACAGGAGACTTCTCCTGAGAACAGAAGCAAGCCAGGCATCAAGAATAGGAAGCTGGAAGTCAGACTATGGGGGTTGGGGGCCTGTGCCTTCTCAAGGGCAGGGCCTCGAGGGGAGCCGAAGGGCTTTTGGCACTTAGCGCTTTCTCCGTTTAGCTTCGGCTTTTCCTTCCTAATCATGACACGGTGTTTGTCTTAGTGTAGTAACGCCTGGCTCTTCCGTGTGCTTGCATTCCTCCCCCTGGATATGGATCCAATTCTGACAGGCCTCTTCCAACTCTGTGATTGTGTGATTCCTACTGTGGACAGGAGACTTCTCCTGAGGACAGAAGCAAGCCAGGCATCAAGAATAGGAAGCTGGAAGTCAGACTATGGGGGTTGGGGGCCTGTGCCTTCTCAAGGGCAGGGCCTCAGCGCTTTCTCCGTTTAACTTTGGCTTTTCCTTCCTAATCATAACGCGGTATTTGTCTTGGTGTAGTAATGCCTGGCTCTTCCATTGCAGGAATTTAAGGACCTGACGCCCAGGATAGATTGCCTGGATCTGAAAGGTACGTTTCCGGGACCTCCAATTTGCGGAGCGCAAATAATAACCGCTGTCTCGACCAATGTTCCCTCTAAGCTGTAGAGTCCAGTGAGCAAAAATTCTCCTTTGTGAGCTACTGGCATTAAAGTTGTGAGTGAGCGATTTGGCTGCTGCATAAATTAGTTTGCTCTGGAGCCCATCCCTTCCTGAGCGAAGACAAGAATGTGTGAGCCAGAAGCTAAAAAACTGTGAGCTAGATCACACTAACTCAGCTTAGAGGGAACACTGGCTCTCGACTCCAGGGCCACGATTCCCCTGCCGCCTTTCGCTCAAGAACTGTTTTAATCTCCCCGTGTTTTGGATGTAGTCCACCGGTCAGGGGTCATGTGGGGAGGGCTTCTTTCTCTGCTTGCTGCCTTTCAGTTCTACAGGCACTGGGGCGGTTCCCATCACTGTGAGCACTGACGGGCGCTGACAGGTCCAGGGTCATCTGTCACTCCAAGGCCGGCTCAGGGCTTCCCCGTCTCTGCCAGCGACACTCCCCTTCCTCCTCCTGATTTTTATTCAGTGCCAGCATTCCTCCCCCCCACCCCCCCCCCCAGTCCCTGGTTTATAAAATAAATAACGAAAGTGTGCAGACGATTGGAGGCAGGCCAGATTGCATAACCGAAGGGAGCGCACACAAACGAACCCACGCCCAGCCTTGCCCGTAATTACTCCCCTCCAGACCCAGACGCGCACGTGACCCCTCCTGGGAGTTACCCGGGGTCACCCTTCCCCCCCCCCCCACCCGAATCTATATTTCATAACCCGCTTCCAGGGGAAGGCAAGAAATAAAAATGAAGGATCTGCTTCCGGCTCACGCTGCAAAGGGTTTACAGGCCGCCGGGCATGTTTTGTGCTTTGCCCGCAAAATGTCCGTTGTCGGAGAGAGAGAGAGAAGCCGGTCCAGCGGGCAGGGTGGGAAACTGCCAGGGCTGGGCGGGCGGGGGACTCGATCGGAGTGGAAACACAGCGGGCGGCACATGACGGCTGAGCAGAGGGTATGCGATCGGGAAAAAAAAAGGAAAGAGCGGCGCTCGGGCTGAGCTGGCCCCGGGCGGGAGCAGATGCCAGGCCAGCAAGCATTCTTCCACGTTCGGTGTCCAGCAGCGTTCCCTCTAAGCCGAGTCGGTGTGAGCCTGCTCACAGTTTTTCAGCCTCCGGCTCACACACATTTTTTGTCTCAGCTCAGGAAGGGAGGGCTCCAGGGCAAACTAATTTATGCAGCGGCCAAATCGCTCGCTCACAACTTGAATGCCAGTCGCTCACAAAGTAGAATTTTTGCTCTCAGGACTCCACCGCTTAGAGGGAGCATTGGTGTCCAGTGCCAAAACTGGATGCCAGCGCAAACATTTCGGCTCTTCCTCGTCGATTCCCGCTTCCCTTTCCCGTCTGGGAAGTAAGTCGCTCGCCCTCGAGCTGGAGAAGCTTTGGGAAAGGGTTCAATGGGGTGCATGGCGGTGAATGGATGGGCTGCTGACGTCGAGAGAACTTTTCCGTCCGGGATCGTTCGGAAAGGGATTGCAGATAAAATGGCCGATACTGTAACGCTCCCGGATAGACCAGTGGTGCGGCCTCCTTTGGAATACCGTGTGCAGTTCTGGTCACCATATCTCAAAAAGGATATCACAGTGCTGGAAAAACGACAGAGGAGTGCAACTGATTTGGAGAGGTGGAGCGCCTTCCCCTATGAGGAAAGGCCGAAAAGTCTGGGGCTTGTCAGTTTAGAAAAGAGACGACGAAAAGGGGGACATGACCAATGCTCCCCCTAAGCGGTGGAGTCTTGTGAGCAGAAACTCTGTTTTGTGAGTTACCGGCATTAAAGTTGTGAGCCAGTGATTGGGCTGCTGCATAAACTAGTTTGCGCTGGAGCCCTCCTTCCTGAGCTGAGACAAAAAAAAATGTGTGAGCTGGAGGCTAAAAAAACTGAGCTGGCTCACACTAACTCAGCTTAGAGGGAACACTGGACACGACAGAGGTTTATAAAATTGCACACAGGGTGGATAGAATGGTCACAGAGAGCTCTTTCACCCTCTAGAACTACTAGAACCTGAGGGTATCCCATGGTTCTTGACACAGGAGTGATCACATTTTAATCACTCCTGTGTCAAGAACCATGGGGTGCCAAAGGATAGAATGATGGCCACAGGCACCGATGGCTTTAAAAGGGGGGTAAGACAGATTCTTGGAGGATCGATCTATCAGTCGCTACTAGCCATAGTGATTAAAGGGAGCTGTGGTGGCTCGAGTGGTTAAGACGCTGAACTGCAGGCTGTGGAAGGTCGGTAGTTCAGCAGTTCGAGACCCGAGTGTGCCGCATGACGGAGTGAGCTCCCATCTCTAGTTCCAGCTCCTGCCAACCTTGCAGTTCAAAGGAAGAAATTGCAGGTAGATAAATAGGTACCACTTCGGTGGGAAGGGAACAGTGTTCCGTGCGCCTTGGTGTCTAGTCATGCCGGCCACATGACCATGGAAACGTCTTTGGACAGCGCTGCCACTTTGGCTTTGAAACGGAGATGAGCACCACAACCCTAGAGTCGGATTCGACTGGCTTTCGAGCAAGGGAAGCCTTTACCACATTCAGAGGCACTAAGCCTCTGGATCCCAGAGCCAGGAGGCAACATCAGGGAAAGGCCTCGGCCTCTCTGCCCTGTTGTTGGCCCTCCAGAGGAACTGGTTGGCCACTGCGTGAGACAGGATGCTGGACTGGAGGGACCACTGGTCTGATCCAGCAGGGCCCTTCTGATGTTCGTAAGAAGGCCTCGGTCTCTGTGCCCTTTTGTTGGCTCTCCAGAGGAACCGGTTGGCCACTGTGTGAGACAGGAGGCTAGAATAGATGGACCCTCACTGGTCTGAGCCAGCAGGGCTCTTCTGATGTTCTTATGAAGGCCTCGGCCTCTCTGCCCTGTTGTTGGCCCTCCGGAGGAACTGGCTGGCCCCTGTGTGAGACAGGATGCTGGACTAGAGGGACCCTCACTGGTCTGATCCAGCAGGGCTCTTCTGATGTTCGTAAGAAGGCCTCGGCCTCTGTGCCCTGCTGTTGGCCCCCCAGAGGAACCGGTTGGCCACTGCGTGAGACAGGATGCTGGACTAGTTGGACCACTGGTCTGATCCAGCCGGGCTCTTCTGATGTTCTCTGCGGTTCCTATGGTGACCACTTTCTGATCAGTGTTCCTATAGCAGGCGAGGTCTCAGATGTCAGTAACAGCAACTCCAGGAAGTGTTGTGCATACCTTCCTCCTGCCGCCTCCCCCCCCCCCGGCAGTGAAGTCTTTTCGAACGCTGGGAGCTTGCAGGCTAATTTTTGTCTCTCATTTGCCAGGCGAGAAGCTGGACTACAAAACCTGCGAGGCCCTGGAAGAGATCTTTAAGCGGCTTCAGTTCAGGATCGTGGACCTGGAGCAAACCAACCTGGATGAGGATGTAAGTTACGCGTTAATCGTGTAAAGAGCTTCTTGTCTTGCTGCCTTTGGCGCAGCTAAATTGAGTGGAAGACCATCTTCCCATGCCCGATAGAACCAGCCAGGGGTCATTTCCTGCAGGAGCGCACAGGAGCGGAGCTCCGGCAGTAAAAAGCCCAGGAGGCGGGCACATGAAACAAGCCCCACCCCCTGCTCCCAGCAGCCCTCAGTCAGAGCCAGAAGCAGCTAGGTAAGTTGCAGAGCCCCCCCCCTCCAGGCCTCCCAGCCCAAAACAGCCCACTGGCACCTTTAAGCCCAATTTTTATTCAGGTACGAGCTCTCCCTCCTCTGCAAGGACAGATCTGCATGTTCCCCCCCCCCCCATAGGTAGCAATCCAGAACAGTCCAGTGGAGCCTGAGCGGTGGGTGTTGCCTTCTGACACACTTCCGGTGATGTCAGGGGGGGGGGCCTATGCAAATAAGTTATGCTAATGAGCTCCTGCCCCTCCTTTTCTACGAAATGACCCCTGGAACCAGCAGTTCGGTGCTACACGTCTGCCCCCGAAGGGCTGTCTTATCCCAAGACAGTAGAAAATAGCAGCACCTTAAAAGACTACCGACATTTGTGGCAGGCGATGAGCCTTCGGGAGTCACGGCTCGCTTCTTCAGATATCTGAAGAAGCGAGCAGTGATTCACGGAAGCTCACACCCTGCCACAAATTCTGTTAGTTTAAGCCGTCAGCCTCTGAACTGTGGCTGCCTGGGTCGTCTTCAACCTCGAAAACGCATTCTTGTTTGAAGTACACGGAGAACCGTACTCAATGTTCCTTTATGCAGGGGTCCCCCACGTGGTGCCACCAAGCGTGGGCAGGACTAGGTGGGTCTTTCGCCCAGCAAGGCTTCTGATTGGGCGCTGGAGATTTGACTGGCCGCGCAGGCTTTTAAAAAGAACGTCCCTTCTGCCGCAACCACCATTACAGCATAAGAGCCAGTCCGGTGTGGCGGTTAGGAGCGCAGACTCTAATCTGGGAAAACCGGGCTCGAGTCCCCACTCCTCCACGTACCGCTCTGGTTCTGACCTTGGGTCAGTGACACGTTAACTCAGCGCTGTTCTGTCAGGAGCAGTCCTCGAAAGAGCTCTCTCGGTCCCACCGACCTCACCGGATGTCTGTTGGGGGGGGGGGAGATTGTAAGCCACTGTGAGACCCCTTCAGGCAGCGAAGGGCTGGGTAGAAATCCAATTTCCTCTTCGTTGTGCGAACAGAGGTAAGCATCAGCGGGCCGTTCTGCGGGGAGCCCCGCCCCCTGCGGCCGCCGTTTTGTGGTACTGTGTCAGGATTCCGAAGGTGCCCACCGGCTTTCAAAAGGTTGGACAGGGGTCATTTCGTAGAAAAAGAGGTGCAGGAGCTCATTAGCATAACTTTTTTGCATATGCCACACCCCCTGACATCACCAGGAGTGTGTCAGAAGGCGTCACCCACTGCTCAGGCTCCACTGGACTGTTTTGGATTGCTAGCTATTGGGGGGGGGGGAACGTGCAGATCTGTCCTCGCAGAGGAGGGAGAGCTCGTACCTGAATAAAACTTGGTCTTAAAGGTGCCACTGGACTGTTTTGGGCCAGGGGGCTGGGGGGGGGCTCTGCAACTTACCCAGCTGCTTCTTGCTCTGACTGAGGGCCGCTGGGAGCAGGGGGTGGGGCTTGTTGCATGTGCCTGCCCCCTGGGCTCTTTACTGCCGGAGCTCCGCTCCTGTGCGCTCCTGCAGGAAATGACCCCTGAGGTTGGGGATCCCCGCCGTAGTATGTCAGCCTAGCATGTGATCTTTGCTCGTTTTGCCCTTGCACATGGAGCAGGTGTATCTTAT